TTCAACCGGATTCGGCCATCCGACGGCGGATCTGGCTCGGGGTTTAACTCGCGGCCGCACTGCGCGTTAATGACATTAGTCCGCGCGACCCGCGCGCGTATAGCTACCGGGGGATCCCCGCGAGGGGCTCGGAAAGCTAGCGCCGTTACACAAACACTCGGAAGCCTTGGACGCGAGCTTCACCAAGCTGGCCGCCATCAACCTCAAACTCTGCCCAACAAAGTGCTTGTTCGGCGCGAGCGAGGCTGAGCGTCCGGGCACATTGTCCGCGAAAACCAGTTTTTGCCAGACCCTGAGAAGGTGAAGGCCGTGGCCAGCTGGATGACGCCGATCAACGTCTCCGAAGTGCGCGCATTTTTGGGGATGGTGGGCTACTACCGACACTTCGTCGCGAACTTCTCCCGCATGGCGAAGCCGCTGCATCATCTTACCAAACTCGGAACGGCGTTCGAGTGGAGCCCCGAACAAGCGCGCGCGTTTGCGGCGCTTAAAAAGGCGCTCTGCACAGCTCCCATCTTGGTTCGTCCCAACCCGGTGAAGCCGTTCATCGTCGACACTGACTACAGCACCGATGGAATCGGCGCAGCTCTCAGCCACCTGGACGACGACGGAAAAGAGCACCCCATCGCTTTCGCCTCCCGGTCGCTTCATGGCACCGAAGTCAACTACTCGACAACCGACGGGGAGCTCCTGGCGATGGTGTGGGCCATCACCGTCAAATTCCGACCATACCTTTACGGCGGGCCCACTTTCACCTGCCGAGTGGACCAGAACCCGCTGATCTATCTTCATCAGCAGCGGAACCTCACCGGACGGCTGGCACGCTGGCACATGAAGCTGATGGAGTACAATTTCACCGTTGTACACCGCGCTGGGCGCATTCACAGCAACGTGGACCCGCTAAGCCGGCACCCCACCCACGACCCACCCGAAGAGGACTGGGACGACCTCCCCGCTTATGCCAGCTTCCCTTCCGCCGACTTACCCACCGGCGAGGCCCCTACGGTTCTCAACATCACGCGCTCGCGCCAGCGCGCAACAGCACCCCCGCCCTTCGAAAGGCGCGAGTGTTTCAACTGCGCGCGACCCGGCCACTTCTCTCCGGTGTGCCCTACGCGCGCGCGACAGCTCACCACGGCGGCTTTGCCAGAAGTCAACATGATCCTCGCGGACGACTTGGCCCCCGACTGGATGCCATCCTTCGAGACGGCTTGCGCCGCGCCACCTCTGCCGGAATGGGAACCTGACGTCATCCCGCTCGACGTCTTCTCCACCTACCAACCCAACTTTGGCGGCGAACTGGTGGAAGCTGCTCCGACGGTCAACTACTGCGAGCCCAGTGCCGACTGGTGGAAAGGACGAATCCCCTCCCCCCCACCCGCTGATCAGCCCGGCACTCCACCGCTCGTTTGTACAATTGACCGAGCCCGGGACGTCTCGGAACTGCAAGGGGACAGAGGTGTACCCACCATACGCTATGAGGACTGGGCCCGCCAGCACCCTTCCGTTCCGTACGCCAAGAAGGAGCCCTCACCGGAGCCAACAACGACACTGAACGGAGCAGTAGCGATCCCTTATCGACTATGGGCCGCCCAGCACCCGGACTTCGCGCTTCAGAAGCACGCGAAGGCGCCCGACGCGACTCCAGACGCGGCCTCACAGAAGGCAGCAGCGGAGGGAGCGGAACAACCTCTACCAACAACAGCCGCATCACGGGAGCCCGTGATGGAGCCTACCGAGGCAACGGCGGAACAACCTGACCCAGACGAAGAAACGGAGGCGTGCTTAGCGCTAGCTGCACTCGCAGCGGTCGAACAACCTCAGCCTTAGCCTCAGCTTCAGCCTCAGCCTCTTCCGGCGCAGCCCTCGGAGACTATCAACATCGGGGAAAAGCGCGACCTAACGGAGACCGAAGGCGATCAACCGGAGCCCCCGACAAAGCGCTTGGCGCTGGAGGACCGTACAGCTCTGGCCGTGACGTCATCACCGGAGGCCGAACCACCGAGCCCCGCTGAGCCGTCCCTCGCGCTGACGTCAGCATCATCCTAGCCAACAGAATAAGAGCCTGACCTA